GCTTGGAAACTGAGCTGTCTTTTTTATTTGAGAAACAAGCTTTTTTTACATGTCAATCCTAGTTCCCTCTCCCTCCCCCCTCCCCCATCTCATCCCCTTTCTGCTCCCCAGGGAGGGTGAGGCCTCCCATGGGGGGTCTTCAAAGTCTGTCATATCATTTGGAGAAGGGCCCAGGCCCTCCCCTATGTGTCTAGGCTGAGGGAGTATCCCTCCCAAATACCATTCCTACACTAGGGATAAATACTTGTCCACTACCAGAGGCTCCATAGACTGCCCAGTCCTCCCAACTAACACCATGTTCAGGGAACTTGGGTCAGTCCTATACTGGTTTCCCAGCTATCATGTCAGCTGTTTCTGTGGATTTCTGCAGCCTGGTTTTGACCCCTTTGCTCATCACTCCTCTCTTTCTGCAATTGGATTCCAGGAGTTCAGCTCAGTGTTTGGCTGTCGGTGTCCGTTTCTGCTTCCATCAGCTACAAGATGAAGGTTCTAGGATGGCATATATGGCAGTCATCAATCTCATTATACGAGAAGGGTATTTAAGGTAGCCTCTCCACTATTGCTTAGATTGTTAGTTGGGGTTATCCCTGTAGGACTCTGTACATTTTTCTAGCACCAGATTTCTCTTCATACCTATAATGGCTCCCTCTATTATGGTATCTCTTTTCTTGCTCTCCTCTATTCTTCCCCAGATTCAATCTTCCTGGTTCCCTCTACCCTCCTTTTCTCCCCTTCTCTTTCTTCTGACTCCCCCTCCCCTCCCCTGAAACTAAGCTGTCTTTTTTTTTCTTATTTTACATATCAATCCCAGTTTCCTCTCTCTCCCTCCCTCCCCCCACCAACTCACCTCCCATTCCATCACTCACCCCCCCACTCCACAGGGAGGGTGATGCCTTCCTGGAGGAATCATCAAAATCTGTCAATCATTTGGAGTAGGGTCTAGGCCCTCCCTCCTGCCTCTAGGCTACGGAGGTATCCCTCTATGGGGAATGTGCTCCCTAAGTCCTTTTATGCAGCACCAGGGATAAATCCTGGTTCCACTGTCAGAGATCCCCTAGACTGCCCAGGCCTTCCAACTGAGACCCATCTTCAGGGGATCTGAGTTGGTCTAATGCTGGTTTCCCAGCTATCAGTCTGGGGGTCCATTAGCTCCCCCTTGTTCAGGTCAGCTGTCTCTGTGGGTTTCTGTAGCCTGGTCTTGCCCCCATTTTCTTATCATTCCTCCCCTCTCTATAACTGGATTCCAGGAGTTCGGCTCAATTTTGGCTGTGGGTATCTGCTTCTATTTCCATCAGCTCCTAGATGAGGGCTCTATGATGGCATATAAATTAATCAGTCAAAATCCAGATGACAATGTCTTTCTGAAGGTCCAAGACATCTTGGAATGAGACTGTATATTCAGGGTAGTAAGGTTAAGCATCATCTAACTACAGACTACCACCATCCATCCCAAATCTACTAGCTCTCCATTCTCTTTCTAATCTGAAATTCATAAATCGGGGAAAATGGTGTTATCTTAGTCTCAATATCGTAACAGCAATGACACAGACTTGGGCCTTCCGGGAGATGAAACTTAAGATTCCTCTTATCCACCTCCCAAGGGAATGGATGACTGGTCTGCCTGAAGAGCTGTGATGAGCATCTGCCTAGTGAATACCTTCCGAGGCCGGGCACCGAGGGAGGCTTTGAAAAGGACCACACAAAGCAAAGGGAAGGCGAGGACCTTCCTACAAAGATAACATTAGCACTCTTTCCTCGCTTCTAAATACCTGAGAACATGTTCCCCAATCTTCAAATGGCTTTCTCCCTTTGAAATGGGCGTATCACAGACAGGCTTGAAATTCAGTAGACTCAGTCAAAGCAGCTTCAGGCCATCTTTGATCCTATCACAAACATTAGTCTGGATCAAGGAGCTTCAGACATGAATCCAGACAACAAAACTGAGTCCATTTGCCTACTTAATTCTCTTGGAGCCCTCAGTAACCACGTAGAGGTGATTAGCATCTGTGCACTTTTAGATTTCAGAGACAAACACATCACCATGAATGGCTCATAATCTGTCAGCATCACCATGTGCACTGCACTACACTGAATAATTAACTCATGTGCAAAATCACTCAACTCTTCAACAGCATAAGGGAAAATTTTTATGATAGGAATATTAACCTCTAGAAAGATTAAATAACTTGCCAAAAAAAAATCACAACATTTAATAATCTAGAGAAATGGAGTTTGGATAAGGCCAATGGCTGTGGTGTATATTCCTAATCTGTTACTATTCCCTGTTTCATCATCCCCCTCCATACATATGAACCATGGCTCCCTGGCCTCTTAAGACATATACTATACTCTTAAATTTTAACATTGGCCACAAAGTTGCTTTCCAGTCTGCTGTGTTTGGGAGCTAACTAGGAAATCTAGGTTACTCTCTGTTTCCTTCTCTTTCTCCTTTCTCCTGCTCACCTCCCTTACCAACCTTCCTTCCAACCTTCCTTCCTTCCTTAAGAGAAAAGGAAAACTAGAGATTATTTTATAGCAAAATCCATCAATTACATTTCATGTCAGAAACAACTAGTGAAAGGAAATATATAAACAATAAAAATGACAGAAAAATAATTAGCTACTCTGCAACTGACGGAAAGAGATGCAGACCCAAGGCCAAACATTAGGCACGGCTTCGGGAATCCTGCCGAAGAGGGGAAGAAAGGATTGTAGGAGCCAGTGAGTGAAGAACACCACAAGAAACCCCACAGAATCAACTAACCAGGGTCCATAGGGGCTCACAGAGACTGAACGAAGACTCAAGGATTCTGCATGGGACTTGACATGTATGTTATGTTGCAGTAGCTTGGTGTCTTGTGGGATTTGTTGAGTGGGTGTGGTGGGTGTCTGACTCTTTTGCTTACTTTTGGGACCATTTTCCTCCTACTGTGCTGCCTCATCCAGCCTTAATATGAGGGGATGTGCCTAGTCTAATTACAACTTTATATGCCTTATTTGGTACACCTGGGAAGCCTGCCCTTTTCTGATAGGAAACAGGAGGGGGAGAGAGGATGTGTAAGGGAGAGCTGTGAGGAGAGGGGGGAGGGGAAACTCAGGTTCAAATGTAATATATGAGAGAAATTTTAAAGGGATCTAGCAATTTCTATTTCATTTGAAAGGGAATGTTTCCATCTATTCATTCTATATACAAATTAGCATCATATTTAAGTATAATTTACATGATAATAATTGGCACAACAAAATAAGAGATTAATAATTCAAATAGCAGACTTACTAATTTGCCCTATAGCATATTTGCAGACTAAAATAAAGCTTATTTTAAACTAAAACTTTAACACACAAACTAATAGCAAATGATTCTAGAGCCATGTCCTCATAACAATGAAACTATTAACAGTATGAAATGCTAGGTAGTAAATCTTTCTAATAAAAGCACAAATGAGGTATAGAAGTTGCATTAATCTTTATCAAATGCATTTCCATAACTATTTATCCTAATTATACTTGTATTCAAATAGTGTGTGGAATTCCAGCTAGTGGCCACCAAAATGAGTACAATCTGTGTATCAACTTTTGAAATTTCTATTAAAATCACTTCAAAAACATTTTCATTCCTGCTGTGAGAGGAACTATATCTGGTCAGCAGCAGCTAGTAAAGGGGGAAATATAATCAGTGAGAAAGAACAAATAAAGAATGATCTAGTAATTCCTATTTCCTATGAAAAGGGAATCTTTTTTCTATCCATTCTATGTATAAATTGGAATCACATTTAAGCGTGTTTTAAGCGATAATATGTCTCATAGAAAATTCCAGGTTACAGAGTTTTGAGCACTGACTCTAAGGGAACTTTTAAAAGTCCTGCACACAGTTTTAGAAGCAAAACTGTGACGAGAAAGAGGCCAGGACGAAGAATGCCTCCATCTAATGGTGAACTGGAGGCAGTGCAGGCTCTGAGTCTTAAGGACAACAAGGGAAAGGCAGTATAAACTCGGCGGCCCAATCTGCAGTTACAGTTTGGGGTTTTTCTAGAGATGTTTCTCGGACAGCATGGCCAACATCCTCTTAAAAGGGCTAAAATGCAAATAACCAGGTTCCATCTTCATGCTATGGAGCTGGAAACTCAGGTAGGGGCAAGGATAGTTTGGGGACCAAGGAACACAGCAGGAAACTACATCTGAGAATAACTATTTTTGTAGCCAAAAGTGAAATGTAAAGGCATTGGAGAGAACTCTGAAAAACACATCAGAAAGCAGAAAACAACTATTGAAACTAATAAGCAAAAGTTCCCACATACATTGAAGAAAAGGTGTGACAAAGACAGTTCTACAAAGAAGATCCAGAGGGAAGTGACGCCACGCTTTCTACTCCCTCTGAAGGAATATCAAGACAATAGTATGGACTGTAGCAGCTAAGAAATTAGACTAATCAAGAAATAACCAACAGCAATTTTAAATTCTTTACTACGACAATATACATTTATTTTCAAATTCAAAAAACAACTAAACCGAAATGTGCAGGAAATATCCATGCCTGATTATCTTTAAAGGGAATCCCACATTTTAAAAAATGAGACCACTGAATGAATCCATATGAACATCTCTACGTGAAACATATAGTAACCAGTAACATATAGGAACCAGACATGTATCTTTGCCAAACTGTGAATAGCCTCATAATCCTACATTTTTATATTCATAAATCTACTGAGTAACTTAGTAACAGTTGATGAAGGAAACAAAAACATAAACAGAGAAGGGGACTTGTTCTGCTCTCTAACAGTGTGATGAGTGTCACATGCTGAGTTATTACACCCTATTTTAAATTTCTGAATGAACTTTTAACATTTAAAATTCACCAGAATTTTACTTTTAATAATATTCTACATGTGAAGTGAATCAGCATCCTGATTCTCTGAGCTTCCAGCCTCTGTCTGGTAACAGAGCACATTCCAACTGTTTGTGGCAGTGGAGAAAGCTAGAGAATCACCCTTCTTTACCTTTTCTACCTTTCCACCGTTGATGTCGCTGGGAAGGAACTTCTTGCCAATCGTTCTCAAATCTGTCTAAAATAAATATTTTATCATTAAAATAGAATTATAGAAAAAGGATCTCTAAATTCAGTCTTTTGAACAAATATTAAGTAAACATCTTTAATTATAAAATGGTGGGAATAGTCACAATTTTCAAATCATTTAGCCAATCTTTGTACTGTTTCAAGTGTCCACTAAAGCAAACAGTAAGAGACAGACAGGGCTATTGTTATTTCTTCAGCACTCTTTTATCTTTCACTCTTCCCTACTAAAATCTCCAACAAATTACACCTACTATGATCTTACTGAAAATTAATGCCATAATCCAAAAATCAAATGGCAGCTTTTACCTAAAGTAAACTCAGTACATGTGTTAACAACTAAATCCCGTATACTCTCAATATCCAAAGACATGAGAAGCAATTACTCCACCAGCTCTGGCAGTCACTATACAGCAAAGCAAATCTGGCAGTCACTATACAGCAAAGCAAAGGGAACAACAGGGACTGGCATCGCAGGGATGGCAAAGCAGCAGCACGTTTGCAGAAGGAGTACTTCCTCTGCTTGTATGAATCACAGAGAGAGAAAATGGTGAATCGGCAGCTAAAATATGTGTAACTCAGCAAACTGATGCACACAAAACTCAGACTGGTTACTGAGGTTAAGCATCTCAGCTAAAGGGAAGACTACACAGTCCATATAAAAAGCAGGGCTTTTAAGAACTTTATCCTCTTCAAGATGTAAAAACCTAAGACAATTTGGAAGGTCTTTCTTTGGAGTATAGATTTCAAGAGAAATAATGTGCTGTTTTTAAACTTACTAAACACAAATAGTGCTCAATAAATTAAGGCTGCACTTAATTTTTTCTGAATAATTTAAGTATTTGAACCTTAAACTACATGCAGGATTTTAATGCCATTCCTTAATATTTCTACTTCCCTACTTTTTGTCTTTTTCAATACAAAACTTGGAGCATAAAGGAAACTTCTAAGAAGGAGAAATAGTAGGTGGAGCGATGGCTCTCTGGTTAAGATCACTCTTGCAAAAGACCTGGGCTCAGTTACCTACACCCATATGGCAGTTAACAACTGCCTAAGATCTGCCAACCTCATCTGACTCCCCAGAGCATCAGGCATAGACACGGTGTACATTTATACAGGAGGTCAAAACACATGAGATAAAATAGATAAACCATGTTTTTAAATAAAGGAAGACTACAACTGAAGTTTCAATACAAATTAAATGGAAAACTGTTTTAAAGAATTCTGTTCTTATTACAAAATTGATAAAAAAAATATGGATCCTACAACTAATGAACTTTTTCTCTTCTCATTGTATTTGTAATAATCATAACTAGCTAATATTAGGCCATTGTATTTAACAAGTATCTCTATAACTTAAAAAGGTAAAAAGTTAAAGATTTCCTCTAATTTCTCATAAAATAACTTATGATGTATTTTTCATTGGAATAGCATTAAACTTTAAAAGTTAGTAAACTTAACCTACATTGAGAGCAATCAGGATGATGTCATTTATATTGACTTTGCCGGGAGAGCTTGTACAAGCTTCAATGCCTTCATCTGAAAGATACCTGTTGAAATAAAATAAACAACTTAATATTATCTAAACCCAATATTAAACAAAATTTTACAATATACAGTTTTGTTTTCTATTAAATAGTAGGAAAGACTGAACATTCCATTCTGATAAGATATATATGCAGAGTGTGTGTGTGTGTACCTTTTTCTGTACCCTTATTGAGATTTTTATGTGAATAAAATTATCCATATGCTTTCTGAGAAAAGCTATTTACATATCGGCCTGTCTATGGGCTACTCTTTGCAATGATACAAACATAATTTCTGATCTAGTGTCTGCCAATGTGGTAAGCTTGTAAAAGAGGTTGAGCTATACCGTAAAATTAAGACTAAAATAACCACACTTTTAAACTTAGTTGAACAAACTCACAACAAGAAAAGCAGCTCCTGGATATTTGTTCACATAATTGCTACTGTAGTTTTCTCGAAGTCTGGTTCTGTAGCCAATTTGGCCCCAAATAAATACATGAAGACTTACATTAATTATTAAACTGTTGTCCGATGGCTAGGGCTTCTTATTGGCTAGCTCTGTCTTAATAACCGGTAACTATTAAGGCCACCACATGGCCTTATCTTACCAGAGAAAGCCTGGCATATCCTGTCCTCCTGGTCTCTATGTGGTGTCTCTTCAAGGTCTCTCTCTGCCTACCTTTCCCAGAATTCTCCTCGTCTCCTAGTCCCACCTATCTCCCTGCCTCTACTGGCAGTGGTTATCCATAAACCAATAAGAGAAACATATGTGCAGAAGGACATCTCCCATCACATTATCTTTTCACATCCCTTTAAAATCATGTTCTCAAGAATCCTTTAGTAAGCACTACTGACTCAAAGGGATATAGGGAAAGGTAACCTTTATAATAAAGCTTTTGCCTTTTGTCTTTTCTTCTTTATCATTATCTTATTATCTTAATGTCCATTTCCTCAGTCCAACCCCATCTTACATCTGAACAAAACAATAATTCAATAGTGAAGGAACTTTGTTTCCAAAGGAGGAAAAACTATCTTTGCCCATTCAACAAATTCAACAATAAATTCTATGATTCAAGTATAAACCAGCTAATAAAATGTCCACAAGCATCTCAAAAGTTCTATGACCAACATCAATTTGTTTAACCAATGGGCTAAAGCCACCATCCATCACTACTGCCCACATTCTCCTAGTACTAAGAGAACTGGTCTCACAGTTAATCCAAAAGTTACCTTAAACCCATTCTTGATGAGTCAACAACTCCATCATTAATCTCCATTACTGCACTGATTTTAAGATATTTATCAATGTAATTTTTGCATTATGTGTATATTTATTTGAGGTTTGTGCACATGTACTACAGTATAGATGTGCAAGTTCAAAGATTGTCCAGTTACTTCTCCCCTTCCCCTTTTATATACACTCCAAGGATAAAACTTAAATCCCTCACAAGTGCCTTTACCTACTAAGCCATCTTGCAGGCCCAAAATATGAATCTTATCTGGACACAGAAAAGAAACAGAGTGAACAAACCTGGCACTATGGCACATGCTCATAATCTCAACACTTAGAGGCAGAGGGTTTACTTTTGTGTCCAGCTTTAGTAGGGATGCAGGCTACTGTGGCAGGGAAGAATAAGGAGGCAGGAGCCTGAAGCAGATGGTCACACTGTGTCCACACCCAGGAAGCACAGAAGTTAGAAGTCAGGCCAGGCTATGAAATCTGGAGGCCCATCCCTACTGACTCATTTCCTCCTTCAAGGATCCTCCTCCCAGAGGTTTTACAGCTTCCCAACAGCTCCACCAGCTGGGGCTCAGGTGTTCACACACAATAAGGGGTATTTCACACTCAAACTACAACACCATCACTCATGAAGGGACAGGGGTTGCCTCCACATAAATATGAGTGAGATAATCATGTAGTACCTTTCCAACACAGCCTGGCAATAGTTTCTGTGTATAGCAAATTACAAAGTGTGTCTGAGTCTCAGTTTCTGAGCTTAGCAGGTCTCCCTGATTCCTTTCTCAAGCTTATTCTTGCTTTACTCCAAAACTGTCAATCAACAGAGCATCTACTCACAGCTCCAGCACATTAGGAACCCTTCTATAAATACCTGGCCAGTTCACTAGAACTGACCTAACAATCACCATGTCACGTTTATACTTTACTCTCCTTTGTGAACATGGAAAATGTAACTATTGACAATGAATAAAGCATGTGATAAAAGTAAAGAGTAACGAAATCGACTGTAAGATATGGCAGAACTCAGTAACCAGGAACAGTATCCACCAGCCAGACTGCCACCAGGAAAAGGGACTGAAAAACTGCAGCAGGTACACTGTACACACCTGCTCCTGGGCCACCAGGGAGAGGAATTACAGTCACTTCCTGTACCCCAGAGAGCTGCTGGGACTATAACAGCCAACAATGCACTCAACTGTGCCTTCTCCTTCAGAGACTTCTGAAACTGTAATATTACAAACCCCTCACCACTAAACTACAAAAATACATCTGAATATATTTTGGAAAGGCACTGCAGGGCTACATTTCTGCATAAAAACTGATTAATAATATTTCCTTTCTAGTTTTATCTTCAAGTAATGCAACTTTAAAACACAAGCTTAATCAGCTCACAAAACTTTCAAGAAGGTAATTAAAAGCAGAAAGAGACAGAACAGACAGACAGAAAGAAAGAGATCTTCTTCGTTGGAATAGTTTTCCCCAGGGAAAAGTATGCCAGTTGGTGATCCGATACCAAATGGTCAGTCCTGAAAACATATGTACAAGTAACATTAAATAGACTAAGCAGTTTGTATTTATGTATTTAGGAATATATATATGCATATACATAAATGTATAAAACAATTAATGAAAAATAGAGGTCATTAATTTGCAAGAGAGCAAGGAGTGGTATGTGGGAGGGTTTAGAGCAGTAGTTCTCAATCTACGGGTCATTCGATCCCCAAAGGGGTCACATATCAGATATCCTATATATAAGAGATTTAAATTACAGTATCATTCCTAACAGCTGCAAAATTAGTTACAAAGTAGTAACAAAAATAAGGAACTGTATCAAAGGGTCCCAGCATTGGGAATAAGAAAGTGAAGGGGAACTGAAAGAACTATATTTTAATAACAAAAAATAAAAGAAATGCTTCCCAGAGTTAGCAAAAAGGACTCAGTAAGAAAACACACTTGCTGCCAGGCCTGTCAACTCTAGTTTAACACCTGAAACCCATATGGTAGGAAAGAACCAACTCCCAGAAGTTATGCTCTGACCTCCATGCAGCACATGGTACATGAGTGCCTACACAAATTCGGATGGATGGATGGATGGATGGATGGATGGATGGAAAGAATGTAGGTACAGATGATATGTAAATGACAGCTTATAAAATTTCCTTTTTCACATAAAAAAAGGATGATAAAATTCTTAGTGTTACTTAACTGGCCATCCCAACCAATTTAAACTTCAAAAATAAGCATTTAAAATTGGGTGGAGAATTATACAGTCACAAACCTAAGGCTCACTACCACAAGAGCCTTCACCTTACATTCAGAAACAGACATATCCAAATGAGTTCAAAACTTTCAAAACTCTGCATAGGCAGAAAACTGGGATAAAAGACAGGCTATTACCTCAACCTCATTTGTTAGATGCAGATTAGCAGTCTCCATTAATACCCTTTATCACCTGTGTGATAAACTGGCCCTGATCTGGGCTCTGAAAGCTGAGAAAATCCATGTCTACTGGCTGGCAGACATGCATGAAAAGGCCAAGGCACACTGTGGAAGGCTGCCCTGCTACAAAAGGCAGCCATTAGTCAACTTCAGCTGACTGTTTGCATGAGGACAAGGGAAGCAGCTACTGTCAGATCAGATTTTTAGCCTTCAAGTTTTTGTAAAGCAATATACTAGCTAAACAAACCAGACTTCACTGACATGAGGACAATCCACTCGGAGCTTATTTAAGTTAGCAACATATCCATCCGTTCCTGGTCACCTCCAAGCTGTTTTATGATGCAGTGTGACACTGTGAGTACATATCAAACATTTAATTTAACAGTCACAGCTCACCTTTTCAGGGAAGGGTAAAATAAGGTATCTTCATGCCATTTTGTACAGCATGGGAGAGCAAAGACCACAATTACAGCTGCAACTAACACTCCTACCAGAGAGGCTGTCAGGCTGAAGGTGTCAGATCATTTATGCTCATGTTTGGTCAAAACAGTTCACAAATTCAACAGACAGACAGGCAGATAAATATACAGATGGAGAGAGACTGCAGACAGCCAGGCTACCTCTAATGGTCCAGAAACTGAACCTAAGAAGAAAACCTAGTTTTTCTTCCCCTCCAATCACCTCCACTCATTGAGATAATGGATGTCTACTTAGGTGGAAACCAAAACTTGCACTTGTAAAATAACAGGGCAGCCTAGTATTACACACTGACAGCAAGTAGGCTGTGGCATATGGAAACTAAAGTGTCAACGAGAAGAAAAGATTGAAACAATCCTCCAAATAACAGGCTCTATCAAGCAAGACACAGGAGATATATGCACAATGGGATGGCAGCCTTGTCTCTGAGTTAAAGGCTTCGTGCGATTTTTGGTGTTGTTATTTTGTTGAGGTGTGTGTGTGTGTGTGTGTGTGTGTGTGTGTGTGTGTGTGTGTGTGTGTGTGTGTGTGTCTTGGGGGGAGATCTCTGACCTCTATTAATTATCTGCCACCACACTGAGTTACTAGTTTTAATATGTAAATTTTTGCTGGAACACAAAGAGTAACTAGATTCCAATTGTCCAAGCTACTGTTGGTCCAGGAGAGATACAAAAGGTAAACTCATTTATGCTCACATAAAACAGTGAGGCTGTAGAAAGCAGAGGGTCCTTCCTACTTGCCCTTCCCACACAGTACCAAGTAGGAGAAGCCTGTGAGAGCCAGAGGGATCAGAGACCATGATTCACTCGAGAAACCTTCTTTTCATTTCTCATTTTCTATTATTAATTTCCATTCATGCACATAAGT